AAATTGTGATTTACGTGTTATTGTAGCTTTACTTGGATGGGGCGAAGAGTCTTGCCCTTTGGTTCGGACGCAGTCAAATACTGAAGTTTATCAACATTATCAAATGTATTCCAATGTGTTCTATGACACGGTATTGGAAGTTAGGAGTGTGTTGAAAGTAGATAGATTGGGTGTTTAGGGTCGTGAGAAATGGATGACAATTCCTAATATGTGTTACTCTATTGCTTCTAAATACAATGTCATATTGGTCTCATTGTGCAGGAATCTTAACATTACATTTTTTCCATTAGTGATAGTTTCATTCATAGCGTCATGTAGACATAAAATTACTGCAGTTGATTTTGTTAACAACAACCATTGGATTCATCTGAAGTTGAAATCCAATTGTGTGTTGCCTCCCGACACAAACCGTTGGAGCATAATTGTAATGGAGGTGCAAGAGCATGGAAATCGGCATATACAGGATGTATTAGGCACGGGAAATAAGTTAGGAAATCAACATAATTTATTTTGTATTGATATTGTAACACTTTTTGCATTATATGTATATATTTTATCGGGTATAGTTTGTTAATAATGTCAAAAACTTATGGTTTTTTTCTAAAACTCACCACTGCCCTACCGAATTTTTCAAAATTTCCAAAAATTTTGGTAATGTACCGGATTTTTCAAAATATCTAATATGTATTATAGATTATCGGATTTTTTTCTATAAAAAAATGGTGCATCAAATTTTTCAAAAAATCGGTATTTCATCCATAAATTTGCAAATTCCAATGATTTTTTACCGACAATTTTGTAAATATCCTCTATTTTATCAAAAAATTGTAAAAACTCCAATATCTATAACTATATATAAAGGGGATACAACTTTTTGGTGTGGCCTATTTTTGTTCCAAAATTACCCTTCATTAATACTTAATTTTATATTTTTATTTCATATTTACCCTTTACCTTAATGCTTAATTTCTCACATGATTTATTTAATAATATTAAATAATAACTGTAAAAAATAACTTCCCACTATTTCCAATAGTCCTTTCTATTATTAACGTTCATACTAACTCCTCTATGCAAAGTGAGTCTCTCTTCAAGCCATTTACAAACTATTTCTCTTAATTTGTCAAGCTATTTGCAAATTAATCATATCCCTCCCTCTCTTTCTTTGTCAAATCGTACATACCTCTATTATTGGAGCGCAAATAATTGACCTATTACTTCATCTATAATTTATCAAGAGAATTCAATCTTCACAGGTACTTTTGTCTGAAATACAATGGGAATGTATTAACTAGTCTAGATCAAGACTCTTAACAAATTCATTTTGATATTATTTTTTTTACTTTGCCTGTTTAAATGAATTGTGTTAAGAATAAGTCTAGATCAAGACTCTCATTTATCTTTCATATGGTAACTACATTTTCTATGCCATTTGACATCCTATTTTGTCAGTTTCAATCAATAATAAATAAAAATTGGTGCCTCACTTTTTATACAACCAATGCTCTACTACAAACCATACAGTTTCATCTTTAAATTTGTTTGTCTGATTTATAATTCTTATATATTTACTATTAAATTGTATTTATTTTTAGCAACAGAATTATACCCAAATGATAATTAACTATATTCATCTTCCTTACGGTTATGTTTGAATTGACGGAATGTGACGGAATGGAGCAGAATGAAATGAAATAATATTATATTTCATTGTTTGGATTGGAAAAAAGAGGATGAAATAGAGTGAAACATGATAGAATGCATTTCATTCAATTCTATTACTCTCATTTTTGTTCTATATTTGTCCCTTACATATTGTTTAAAATTCTCACAAAACCATTTATTTAATAACACTACATGATAACTGTCCAAAAATAACTTCCCACCAATTTCAATCCAACCGTCCTTTCTATATTATTTACGTTCATACTACCTACTCTCGCGTGCAAAACCAATCTCTCTGAGCCACTCACAAATATTTCACATTCACTTTGCCAAGTTACTTTCAAATTAATTATTTCTCTTTCTCTCTTACTTTGCGAAGGTTTAAGTAACTCCATTATTGCAGTGAAAGGAGTGGTACATTACTTCATTATCAAAAGAATTCATTTTTTGCCAGGTATTTTTTTAAAAATATAATTGAATGAATTTATTAAACATGTTTAGGTTGATCTTTATTTATTTATTTTGTTAGAGTATTGTGAATTGGAAAGGTGAATATTCCAACATAAACATAAAAAAAAAAAAGGAAATCCAATAGAAATGCTGAAGAAAAGTTAATATAAAAATTAAGAGATTGTGTTTATGGATTAAGAGAAACAATTATTTTTCTTTTGTTTTATAATTAGTTTGGTTATCACGCCTTAAGTTATGTAAACCCAAATACACTATATAACCTCTTATAAGTTATTTATACACCAACCTCTTATAATTGCTAGGTAAACATTAAATTGCTAGAGAAAAGTTCATTTATATTTATATCAACGAGATGCAGGAGTTATAATTTAAGTGACTTCGGTTATCAATTTTTTTTTCTATTTCCTATTACAGTTAATTTTTTTAGAATGTTTGATGTATTTGCCGGTTACGATGTTTTTGTGACCGCTAGCCATTGGTTTTTAAATTATGTGAACTATTCATCAACAGTTTTTTTTAATCTTTAGTTGAGTAAACAGTTGGTTGTATATTATTTATCCAAGTGTTAGGAAAAAAAAATAAAATTGTTATTTAGAAATTGAGAGCTAGCATATACGCTAAATAACTATAGCTTTGAAAAAATTCATTTAAGAGAGTATTTAGAAATAATTGTAACATACTAAATAAATTCATCTGTAACTGTAACAATTTTAGAGTAAGAAATAACTAACAATTTTAAGAGAGAATGTTATTTCTAAATAATTGTAACATATTAGAGCATCTTTAATGCAGGTTTTTAATAGTTAAATTTTTTATAGTTAACCATGATTATAAAGAATTTGCATTGGAATGACTATGACATGACATTTAATTCACTAACTTTTAGTTTCTGGCAATTATATAGCTAACGTATGCTATTTATTTTGAAACATATAATATTATTATTTATATTATTAAAATCTTGTAATTAAATTAATGGTAACTTCAACAAAAAAATAATTACAATTAAAAAATATAAAATATAGGGTAAAGTTTTAGTTTTTTATAATCAACTATCATTAAAGTAAAAACAACTCAAATCAACTATAATTTTTTCAAATCCTACAAATCACTTTGGGCCCACAAAAAATATCTTAGTTTACCCAGTTAAGATGCTCTCACTAAAGATGCTCTAAGAGTATTTAGAAATAAATGTAGCATACTTAAAAAAAACTATAACAATTGAGAGCTAGCATATACGCTAAATAACTGTAACAGTTTTATCCAAGGGTTGTACAAAATTAATAAATTATAATTATTGTACTAAAATAAAATTTTATACATAATTTAAAAAGATTTTCATTGAAGCTACACTCATAATATTAAATTGTTACAGTTATGCTAAAATCAATCGGATTAATAGAGTGTTTTTTTTATTAATATTAGTGTGCATTAATATCGTATTTTAATAGTGGTTAAGGTTAAGAGTATTATATGCATATTTGTATTATAAATTAGTGCACACACATATTTGGTATTAATGCACACTCACAATAATAGCGTATTTTATCATAATTATATACTATATTTTACTACTCTATAATTTACTAGAATATTAATGCACACTCATAGTATATAAATTTATCTAATAACTATTATACACATATTTTATATCACAAGTGTGCGTACTAAAATGAACTAAATAAATGATATTCTTTAACACTCATAGTATACATAATTATTGTACTAATTAATAAAAAGATGAAAATTTACTTTTGATCAATGAAAAAAGCTTCAATGATAATTATGAGTTAACTAAAATATAAAATAATTTGGAGTAATATAAAAATATTATTAAAAATAAAAATAAAAAACTTTGTTAGAGATCCATGAGATTCGGTTAATTTAAACTTATCCACAAAACTTTGAACAAAATATAAAAAAAATGGTTAATTAATTATATTTGTTAGACATCCATTAGATTCGGTTAATTTCGAGTTCAAAATTTAAATTCGACGTAAATTATATTTTTATTTTGTAGTTTAATTTTGATCGATAAAATTTTAATTTTTGTCGAATTCAATTAAATATGATTGAAACATTATTTTTAAGTATTATAAAAACTTTATACAAAATATACATACGTCTATTTTTCTATATTGTGCACATGAAAAAAAAAGCGGACAGACGGGTACGGCTAGTTTTTTATAAATAAAAAAAGAAGGTATTTCTTCATCCAACTAAAAAAAATATGCAACAAGTATAACACAGTTACACGAGAGCATCCAAATCCAAATATACACATGTAAATATTACTTTAAAATGACAGGCACATATGAAATTTTTTTAATTGTTATATCTATGCAATTTTATAATGCCTAATTCAAATAATGAGAATCAGAACTAAATAATATGGATAACTAAAGATGATTCAAACAATTATGATAACATGAATACATAAATCGTGTTGAAATAAAGTCACAAAGATAATAACAATAAACGAAATTGCATGCATAACATGAACTAAGAATTGTATTTTGGGTTATTCTTAATTTTTCAGAAAATTATGTGGACACTTATTTTATGAATCTTCTTACAATTATAACAAGTCACATACAATTTCATAACAAAATTTTAAGAACGAAATATTCAATAAAAGTGAAATAAAAGGTTTATACTATAACAATAAAATTCAAAACACCTATAAAAAAACATACAATTGTTAACATATAGAAAGAAATACATGAACATAAACACATACAATTGTTCAACAAACAAAAAGAAGTACAGGGCCATAAATAACATAAGAAAATAAGTATGCCGCATCAGAATCACCACATATCCCAATAAAGTCTCATCAAATATTACAACAAAAAAATAAACTTTTATAGTCTGAGTAGCCATCCACGTTTCCTGTCATCAGACATAGCAATAAACATTTCCCTCCAATCAGGGTCCTTGAACTTTTTTAAGGCTTTTCCATAGATGTCATCTGAAATATCTGGTATCTCTTCAAGAGCAGTCACACATTTGGTAAGAGAATAATTTGATGCTGCATATGAAGAAGCCTCCACCTTCGTCGTATCCATGTACCTCTCTGCCTTTGCCAAAGATGTTTGAACCCGCCCTGAAAGTGCGTCTCTCATATGACCAGATGTAAACTCTTTTTTGGAGTTTACTTGAACGATTTGCTTTTCACTGTCTGTGTTGCGCTCCTTTAAAATTAAAAAATGTCATGGTCATAAACACATCACAGACTCTACTCCATGCTCGAAAATAAAAATGTCAAAGTGGACATCATCGAAGCACGAATTGGAAAGCAAAAGTTACATACATGTTCAGACTAATTCGAAAGAACCGTACAGGGATAAAAGAGGAGCAGACAAGGTCATGATACTAATATGGGGTTGTCTCGCATAGTCTTTCACCGCATAACTATAACTTAGGACCAAATATGAGGTTCCTCTCAACCTTGGTCACTTCATGGTTCAGATCAATTTTCATCCACACTTGAAGGGCACATGAATAATTTATCATGATTTTAAAACAATTTCTACTCGAGTTCATTTCAGACAAGAGTTCTTGTTACAATAATCTAATATGCCATCTCATCCTCAAATATCACAAAAATGGAAATCTCCCCATGAAAACAGCAAAATGGCACCCCAAAACTCAGTAATAGAAAGCAACAGAGTTGATGTGTATGTGAGGTATGTTACCTGTCCTGTACGATGAAGATGAACGTTGGGAGGTACAACAGAGGCAGGCGCAGCAGTGGAGACAGAACCAGGCGCATCAGCGAAGGAGGCAGGTGCAGCAGTTGAGGCAGAACCAGGCCCATCAGTGAAGCAGGCAGGCGCGGCGAACTGTGAACAATGTTGAGTGTTCTTCATATCCTTTTCAGATTTTTCAACCTATTTAGTAACAACTAATTACAAACTCTTCCCGCAGTGCAAGAAAGGGAAAACATATATGTCACAAGGAGCGCTTAATAAATTACATTAATGTCCAAGCGATAGGTTTAATTGTGGACAACTTTTGAATCAACTAACATGAAAATTTTCTACACTAGCTCTCAAATTTAACAATTTCACCTATGAAACTAAAGGATGTTACATTAAGATACTGGTTGCCGCTGTTTTTACAAGATTCTACACTACATCCAAATGTCATAATATCACAAACTATGCATTCGTTTTTTTAACCCACTATCACCAACCAAAAATAAAATGACATTTAAATTGTAGACATATATGAACCAAATATATCCTAACAAAAAACTACACAAAATGAACTGGGGAAAAAGCTAACAGAAAAATCCGGAAAAAAAACCAAAGCCATTATCACGTTAAATAATGTAATGATTTCAAGTGTAGTCTATGAAAGCAAGTATCAACAATGAATGAGAAAGCAAGTATCAACAATGAATGAAAACAAAACTAATAAACATTTTGATTTCAACCACTGCAAGCCATAAATTAGAAGAATAACCATGAGATAAGCCCCACTTACCTGTGCATTTCTAGTACCACTTTTGCTGTCACTTCCAAGAATTTCAGCTTCTTCTGTTTCATCATCTACACCTTCTGGGACAGCATTCAGATTGAATGACCGATATTTCTTCGTGTCTCCATTTGCTGACTGCAAAAGAGTGAGCAGAGTATGCATTAGCACCGAGTAGATTTGCACACTTAAAGATTGAAATTTTAAGCACATAAATATTTACATATATTTAAATTCTTATCAAATTTTATAATGTCACTCTTAGAGTAGGTCAATTTTTCCCACTTAACTATGATAGACTGATTATGCTATATTTATGATGGAACGATGTGAATTATAATTTCCTAAAATTTAGTGTCGTAACCAATCAACGTCCAAAAATATAAATAAAAAATAGTATAAAACCACAATCATCAAATATCTTCAAGTACTATCTAGGGACAATCAATATTCTAAAAGATGGAAAAAAGAAATATTTTTCATAAATTCATAGATCAGAGACAACAAGGTAAAATCAATTCAAAGCATGTCAATACCTCTAGAGCATTTGAGATCTGTGTGTTTGAGTTTGTGGAGTTATTCGCCTTTCGTTCTTTGAATACACCCCAGAAGAACAACAAATTACTCGAACCTACCAAGCACAAAAGTAGCAAGAACATAGTAAGAGAGAGACAAATGCAAACAAAAACTTCAGCATAATTGAAATGAAATCATATATCATGAGTAAAGATTATATCTTACACCGGCTTTCCTTAGGCAGAACATTTGATGGAAAAATTAAAAGATCAGCCCCATCCAAATTTGCTTTCAGAGCCAAATCATTATTGGTCATGTAATCTGTTGCGGTTAGAATATGATATCAAATTATTAATTAATTTGAATCGCATCTTTAGTTCACAACCGCTCTTTGATTTATCCGAAGGAAAAGGTCAAAAGAGGAAAACCTAATTTTTCATCGTAAAGACAATGCAGGAAGAGATCTAGGTAAGGGGTTGGTTAAGCTTAGGGAAGGTACTAGCACCCTAAACTTCTGTAGTACTCTACAGGAACCTTTTGTTTATTGTATGCTTTTTTTATATTTTATTATCTGCTTTAATATATATTGCTAAGGGATAGAGTGACCTAAAGACCTAAGGGTTAGTCCTAAGTTTACTCGGCAAGACGTCGCATCTTGTGCCTACATATCCTGATGGGAATGGAATCAGAGTAATTGTAGTTCCCCTCGAAAGGGAGGTTAGAAACGTCTTGACTATGGTCAAGGTTTCATTGGGGAGTAAACGTATCTTAAGGACACGCTTATGTGGAGTCTTTGAAACTCCTATTTCTACGTTGAATTTGTTAATTAAAAATTTAGGGTTGAAATTAGGGATTCCACTGCGGGAAACCCTAAAACAAAGTACGGCGACTCTTTGACCTAAAACTAGGGTAAAGGGTATTTTTGTCCACGGCAGGACGCCTAGGTTAATTAGGGTTTGAGACGGCTAAAACTAGGGTTATTGACTCGGCGGTCAAACAGCTAGACCTAATTCCTTCGGAGGGATTCTAACGGTAAAAACATGCAAAATACGACAAATTACTATTCGGCAGAATTAAAGTGCGGAAAAATAAAGAAAGCGGTAAAAAAAGCATCGCGACGATCACTCGCGTAAATTACAAATTCCCAAAAAATGCAAAATAAAATAACTGCGACCATGGCCTCGCGTAAATTACATCCATGGAACAAAAACGAACAAATGAAATGATAACGAGTTGAAACAAACAAATTAACGAGGGTTAGACAAAAATGAAACGGCTAAATCACAACTTATTTCTTTTTGAGTTTTTGTTGAGAAGAGGAGAGGAGAATTAATTTCATGCTTAAATGGAGAAACTATTCTAATTATTTACTAAAAATTTTAATAAAGAAACTGGTTTTAATTTTAATGAAAAAATGTCTTGAAAAAAAATGTTTTAATGTTATCGAAAATAAATGTTTTAAATTTTAATTAAAAAAATGTTTTAAATTTTAATGAAAAAATTTGATTTAAATTCAACGAAAAAGGTTTTAATTTTTGTTTTAGTGAAAGAAAGGTCATTTTTTAATTTTTGTGTTAACTTAATGAAAAATGGTTTTAATTGGAAAAAAGCTTTAATTAAGAAAAACTGTTTTATTTAGAAATATGTTTTTAAATAAAAAATGATTTAATTTTTGAAAAAAACTTTTTAGAAAGATCTTAATTTTTAAAAAACTGATTACGTTATGTTTTTTTTTGTTGTTGAAATAGCTTACCTAAACTTAATTGCATTATTAATTACAAACTACATAGTTAATATAAATGAAAAAATAAACAATTGAATAATAAAATAAAAAAATGAAACGTAAATAAAAAGGCTTCTGCCGTTTTCTCCCTGGATGACTATCGAAGCTTTTCCTCTCCTTCAATCCTTGCATGTCATCTTCTATTTATTCTTCCCATTAATCTACAATCAATGAACAAAACAACACACAAAAATCATAAAATGCCGTAAATCAAAGGAAAGAGAAAGCTTACGGTAACGACGATGATGTTGAACGAACTGAGCCTCCGCCGTTGGGACTTTTTGCTCGCCGGTAGCGCTTGGCCGATGATGAATTCAAACTTGTTAGGGTTCTTCCAAAAAAATTCCTTCTTCTGATAAATCGTGAGAACGGCCGCCGTTTTTCTCTTTTGTCTCCTTTCCCTTTTATCAAATGCAACTCATGTTTATATAGGTAACAAATTAGGGTTAACTCTAACCTAATGCCTATTTTAAAGCCCAACTTAAATAATTAGTCAAAACTAAAAAACAAACTAAAACAAACTTAAAAGAATAAAATCTTTTCTAATATTTTTAATTTTATGATTTTTTGATGTTTTTATGAGTAATATGGAAAAAAGTGAAAAAGTAATATGGAAAAAAGTGAAAAAATAATATTTTTTAAAAAATAATTTAAATAAAATACGAAAATAATAATTAAATAATAAAAAAAAAACTATTTTGTTATTTTTTTTTATAAAAATAGAAAAGTTAGAATAAAAATAAAAGAAAAACAAAAAGTGAAGAAGGTGGGATTTGAACTCTCGACCTCTCACACTCACAACTCCTTACACACGGTCTCTTACCAATAGTGCCATTTTATTCATTCAAAATAAAGTGGCACTAGAAACTATGTAAAGGTAGGACAAATTTGGGGTGCAACAGATGCCCCTATTTAAATAGCTTCACCGGATGATTTGAGCAGCGGAGACTCGAGAAATCGCGGTGAAAGGGATTTAAATACAGATAACCGGAAATTTGGCCCCTAGATGTAGTGATATGCAATGATATGGACAAAATAACACGAACTATAATGCTGACAATGCCATGAATCTAATATGATGCGTATGATGAAAATGAAAAAAATGCACGGATGCAGACGAAACAACGTCACAGGGGACGGCGCAACGAGGAAATGCACTGGGGAAGAAGACACGCGGTGGTGACAAGGTAACATATGATCCACACGGAGGCAGGACCAGGTAAACGACAGACGCTAGAGTTTTCGGGACATTCCTTGAAGAGATCGAGCGGGATCTTCAGGACTCACCAGAAAACATATAGGGAGAGACAACATCAGAACATTTCGGAAGAACATCGAAAAGGAGACACGTCGTATCTGGAAGAACGCCAGATAGACATGACACGAAATAGTCGATGGGTGCCAAGTAAACTGGACTTTGTCCACAAGGTAAGACGCGGATAAAACACGACCTCGGGGAGAAAAATGCGAATGGGGATAAAACACCTATGCTGCCAAGTAACTAAATTCGTCCACAAGGTAAAACGCGGATAAAACACGACCTCGGGGAGAAAAATGCAAATGGGGATAAAGCACCCATGATGCCAAGTAAATAAATTCGTCCACGAGGTAATACGCGGGTAAAACACGACCTCGGGGAGAAAAATGCAAATGGGGATAAAGCACCCATGATGCCAAGTAAATAAATTCGTCCACAAGGTAAGACGCGGGTAAAACACGACCTCGGGAGAAAAAGCAAATGGGGATAAAACACCCATGATGCCAGGTAAATTGGACTTCGTCCACGAGGTAATACGCGGGTAAAACACGACCTCGGGAGAAGAAGCAAATGGGGATAAAACACCCATGATGCCAGGTAAATTGGACTTCGTCCACGAGGTAAGACGCGGGTAAAACACGACCTCGGGAGAAAAAGCAAATGGGGATAAAACACCCATGATGCCAGGTAAATTGGACTTCATCCACGAGGTAATACGCGAGTAAAACACGACCTCGGGAGAAAAAACAAATAGGGATAAAACACCCATGATATGCACATGTATATAAATCATGCTATGATAGATGATCAAATGACAATGCAGATGTCGACGACAAGGCTCGACTCTGTTGGTAAGATGACAAAACTGGAAGACTAATTCCTCAACCCATACATCATTGTCATTCTATTAAACTGTATCAAGTTGATAGTCCTTGTAGGAAGGATGGAAAGCCGCTTGGAGATCTTTCAAGTAAACTGCCCCAGATTAAATTGTCCATTACAGATGAACTGATAATTGCTTCAGCTTGTCTGATTCTGAAAATGACTGTTTTATTGTACCCTCGGAAGGTTTGCCCCAGTGTGAGTCTTGGAAAAAAAACCTTTGGATAAACCAAATCTGAGAAGATCTTGTCTTGAATAAATCTTGAACTGATTCTTTGACAGGATGTAAAAGGAACTTGCCCCTGATAAGATCACTTGACCAAGTTTCTCATTGTTTAAAAATTCCTTAGAGGAAAGCGAGTTTGCAAACAAAAATATTCATACAAACATGGTAATGCAAAGTTCATGCGACTTTTGAAATCAAAATTATTTTTGAAAAATGAAAAATAAGTCGTTGGTCAGAACACGGTGGTTCAAGACGCTCAAAACTTAAAACAAAAGTGTATTGCCACAATAAATGATTCACAAAGATCTTTTGGAGTCAGGTTACGCAACCTTGTTGTAGTATACTTTCAAAATAACCTTGCTTCAATTAGGTCTTTTGAGGGTTGTAACGTGGTCTGGTTCATGGTTTATGAAACAAAGGATAAAGGCTCAAAATTTATTTATACCCACCCCATCTACATGATGATCTCCAGTCCTATGCTCAGTTAACTCCTATTATGCATTCAGGTTCGTATAGATTAGGAATTACACTGATGGTAGCAATGATGGTTCAGAAGTCAATGGACCTATGAAAAGCAGCCACTACCTCCTTATGATATTTGGTCATTTTGACATTGAGGATTTTCAGGGTAAAGATTTAAAACTCCTCTTTGTATTATCCCTAAATTTTGCCTGAACTGTTTTACAGTCAGCGGGATGCCCCAGTTTTGCCTAAGTCTCCTTCATAGGTTTTGGCTTAGCGGGCTTTTTCTTTTGATTTTTTTTTTGAAACATGACTGCCTGGTTTAATGATTACGGTGAACCATCATCGGTGTTTTTGACTTAAAAGTAATCTTCGACACTTGTTTGTTGTGTGTGAAGGAAAATTATAAGTGCAACCTTTATATGAAAGGTATATTGCATGAACACATAACCGAGTTAACTGAGAAATACCCATCCCCAGGTTAAAATTGCGGGTTTCTTTTTTGTAAAGAAAGGAACTCCAACTTCTAGGCTCGAAGGGGTTGACAAGGGATTAACTTCCTTATTTCTCCAGTGTTTGGGGATTGAAACAATGCCTTACATCATCAACAAGGTTTGATTGAAAGCATATTGACATCAATTATGGGTATAACGTTATCATCATCCTCCCTCCAATCTTAGCATATCAAAAATTTGGACAAAAAGTAAATATTTGAAAATAAAGCATAAAGATGCAAATAGTAGGAAAAATGAATTGAATCAAAAGTCGCAATGCTCATTTCATTAATGTAAAAGTACAAACATAATTTGAAAGCAAACAACTAATACGAAATAAGGAAAATGCAAACAACAAGGAATAAAAGGCCTAGTGATAAAACTTCATTTCTGATGCACTGGCAAGGGATCCTTCTGAACATTCGAATGACCGTTTGTAAAATCAAGTGTTCCGGTTCTAACCAATTCACGCACTCTAGCCTTCAGCGCAAAACAATGTTCCAAGTCGTGGCCTGGGGCACCCTCATGAAAAGCACAATGGAGATCGGTCCTGAACCCAACCGAAGGGGGATTAGGAGGAGGTGGCAAAGCTTTTATGGTGATCAGTCCTCGTCGAACCAAGTCAAGATATAGCCCGGTGTAAGTCATGGGAATAGGATCAAAGTGGCTTCTGTTCCATTTCTGGTTTTGTCTGATAACTGGGCGTTGAGGAGTCTGAGCTGGCTGTCCTCTGGCAATCAGTATTTGAAGCATTTCAGTGAGCTTAGTCATGTCTTACTTCAACTCATCGATTTCCATTCGGATCTATGCATTGTATGTCTCTTGCTCTGACATCTCATGTCTATAGTTAGCCCTGGTCTGATATCTATATCGAGGAATCAGCTTGACGACTCAAAGGTACACTGGAAGACGAGAGGATCGAGAATGAGAAACCGGGGGAAAATGCAATGCAAAAATGTGATGCTAATGCCATGTAATGGTTCCAAGAATTTCAACGGTCGATTGCAAATATTCCCTTTTAGGAAAGTTGGAAAGAAATTTTTTTTACTCTAAAATATAGGACCTTTTTGAATTTCCAAAGGACTGTTGAATTCCTTGAAACTGGAAATGATATGATGCTTTATGGATGCAAAGCACAAATACACACACAAAGGTCCTAGGTTAGAGGACAGCGAATGGAGTTAAGGTCTACCCTTCCCAAAAGGTAAGTACTATAGGTTAATTGTACCTGCAGAACAAGGGTTCTAAAGAGGTGCCCAAAGTCATCAGTCCATCCTTCGGATATTATCAACTTTCCAACTGACTCAGAGGTCGATAATATTCTCAAGAGAACCTCTTTTGAGTGTAGTATCGCGTAGCAACTATTGTAGGACTACTCCCACATAGTTCCCGCACTACGTCCTATATAAGGCCAAGGTGGGGTTAAGGTACTACGGTCCCCAGTATCACAGACTCCAATTGAAAATAGTAAAAGTTTTCACGACTGCACTCGATCAACCGAACCATTTTCGAAAGGGTCTCAACTGAGCGGTGATTCTCGAGTTGACTTGGTCGGGACTCACTCCCGGCAAGCCTCGTCGAATATCTCACCTTCCTATAATAAGATCACTCAAGTCCGGGTTAGGACTTATCTCACAATAACAGGTATCCCCACAAGGTACAATGATATATAAAAATAATTAATAAAATATCATACAATAAACAAAATAGGGGTAACCCTTAAAAATTAGGAGGGTCCCCAGTGAAGTCGCCATTTTCTGTTGCGGTTAGAATATGATATCAAATTATTAATTAATTTGAATCGCATCTTTAGTTCACAACCGCTCTTTGATTTATCCGAAGGAAAAGGTCAAAAGAGGAAAACCTAATTTTTCATCGTAAAGACAATGCAGGAAGAGATCTAGGTAAGGGGTTGGTTAAGCTTAGGGAAGGTACTAGCACCCTAAACTTCTGTAGTACTCTACAGGAACCTTTTGTTTATTGTATGCTTTTTTTATATTTTATTATCTGCTTTAATATATATTGCTAAGGGATAGAGTGACCTAAAGACCTAAGGGTTAGTCCTAAGTTTACTCGGCAAGACGTCGCATCTTGTGCCTACATATCCTGATGGGAATGGAATCAGAGTAATTGTAGTTCCCCTCGAAAGGGAGGTTAGAAACGTCTTGACTATGGTCAAGGTTTCATTGGGGAGTAAACGTATCTTAAGGACACGCTTATGTGGAGTCTTTGAAACTCCTATTTCTACGTTGAATTTGTTAATTAAAAATTTAGGGTTGAAATTAGGGATTCCACTGCGGGAAACCCTAAAACAAAGTACGGCGACTCTTTGACCTAAAACTAGGGTAAAGGGTATTTTTGTCCACGGCAGGACGCCTAGGTTAATTAGGGTTTGAGACGGCTAAAACTAGGGTTATTGACTCGGCGGTCAAACAGCTAGACCTAATTCCTTCGGAGGGATTCTAACGGTAAAAACATGCAAAATACGACAAATTACTATTCGGCAGAATTAAAGTGCGGAAAAATAAAGAAAGCGGTAAAAAAAGCATCGCGACGATCACTCGCGTAAATTACAAATTCCCAAAAAATGCAAAATAAAATAACTGCGACCATGGCCTCGCGTAAATTACATCCATGGAACAAAAACGAACAAATGAAATGATAACGAGTTGAAACAAACAAATTAACGAGGGTTAGACAAAAATGAAACGGCTAAATCACAACTTATTTCTTTTTGAGTTTTTGTTGAGAAGAGGAGAGGAGAATTAATTTCATGCTTAAATGGAGAAACTATTCTAATTATTTACTAAAAATTTTAATAAAGAAACTGGTTTTAATTTTAATGAAAAAATGTCTTGAAAAAAAATGTTTTAATGTTATCGAAAATAAATGTTTTAAATTTTAATTAAAAAAATGTTTTAAATTTTAATGAAAAAATTTGATTTAAATTCAACGAAAAAGGTTTTAATTTTTGTTTTAGTGAAAGAAAGGTCATTTTTTAATTTTTGTGTTAACTTAATGAAAAATGGTTTTAATTGGAAAAAAGCTTTAATTAAGAAAAACTGTTTTATTTAGAAATATGTTTTTAAATAAAAAATGATTTAATTTTTGAAAAAAACTTTTTAGAAAGATCTTAATTTTTAAAAAACTGATTACGTTATGTTTTTTTTTGTTGTTGAAATAGCTTACCTAAACTTAATTGCATTATTAATTACAAACTACATAGTTAATATAAATGAAAAAATAAACAATTGAATAATAAAATAAAAAAATGAAACGTAAATAAAAAGGCTTCTGCCGTTTTCTCCCTGGATGACTATCGAAGCTTTTCCTCTCCTTCAATCCTTGCATGTCATCTTCTATTTATTCTTCCCATTAATCTACAATCAATGAACAAAACAACACACAAAAATCATAAAATGCCGTAAATCAAAGGAAAGAGAAAGCTTACGGTAACGACGATGATGTTGAACGAACTGAGCCTCCGCCGTTGGGACTTTTTGCTCGCCGGTAGCGCTTGGCCGATGATGAATTCAAACTTGTTAGGGTTCTTCCAAAAAAATTCCTTCTTCTGATAAATCGTGAGAACGGCCGCCGTTTTTCTCTTTTGTCTCCTTTCCCTTTTATCAAATGCAACTCATGTTTATATAGGTAACAAATTAGGGTTAACTCTAACCTAATGCCTATTTTAAAGCCCAACTTAAATAATTAGTCAAAACTAAAAAACAAACTAAAACAAACTTAAAAGAATAAAATCTTTTCTAATATTTTTAATTTTATGATTTTTTGATGTTTTTATGAGTAATATGGAAAAAAGTGAAAAAGTAATATGGAAAAAAGTGAAAAAATAATATTTTTTAAAAAATAATTTAAATAAAATACGAAAATAATAATTAAATAATAAAAAAAAAACTATTTTGTTATTTTTTTTTATAAAAATAGAAAAGTTAGAATAAAAATAAAAGAAAAACAAAAAGTGAAGAAGGTGGGATTTGAACTCTCGACCTCTCACACTCACAACTCCTTACACACGGTCTCTTACCAATTGTGCCATTTTATTCATTCAAAATAAAGTGGCACTAGAAACTATGTAAAGGTAGGACAAATTTGGGGTGCAACATAATCCATCAGTCCTCTATAATATGTCAAATAGCAACAAAAAGAAGGAAAAAATTACTTAAAAGTGAACAGAATAAACCAATCTGGTTGGTTAAAAAGGAAATGTCTACCAAACAAACCTATTAACATCTTTAGCAAAAAAGTAGAGGTCAATATGTTCCTTAGTGACTTGATTTCCCATAAAGAGAGAGAACCAGATCCTCAATCGAGGGAGTTCCTCCAGTATAATAATCTCGGGAAGACTGTTCACAAAATCAAGAATTTTCTCTGAACAAAAAGTTGATAGATTAGCTTGAAAGCCATCACAAGTCCTTGCAATCCCTTCAATGTTGTGTATCTGAAATTTTCCTCTGTATGAATCATGATGAAAAAACATGAGAAACTTCAAAGCAGTAAACCCTGAGAGTAGAACAAAATAAATAGTTAAATAAAAACAAACAGAAAGAGACGCACGTCCATGAAGAATGCAAATCCGGCTTGAGGAGACCATATAAAAGACGTGCTTCCTCAATCAGAGTTGTGTCGCTCAATCTGGACCATTCATCAAAAGCAGGGCCTTTGATTATAGCTCTAGTAGCTTCTATGGGGTCCTCCGCTTGCTGGCTCTTCTTTTTCTTATTTATACTTGGACAATCTGAGTCTTTATGAGTGTTGTGATCGCTTTGTAATTTATGATCCAATTTTTCTGAACTTTCTACAACATCAAGATTACGAAAACTGGAACCTGAAAATAAAGAATCACCACTAGAAATGGTTTCCTTTGCATTTTTTCTTGCATTGACACCAGAATCTGAAATCAATAAGCACGTTGTAGGATCGTGTAACCCATAAGCATCCGCTAGGAGAACCTTAGAACAAGTAGTATTTGATTTCCCTGAGATAAGACTATTCAATGACATAGAATCAGATACCAATTTAGGACCTTTTCCTTTTCTATTATCATGAAAAATAGAACTTCTCCTAACCTTCTGCTTCTCCCTTTCTACAAAACTTGTTTCAATAGCCCTAGATTTTTTCACTTGTTGATCTTTTAAAGGGTCTCCGTGTCTCTTAACTTTTAAATGAGATGTAGAACGTACATCATTTGTCCTACTCTTCCCATCATATGGAAGTCTAATTTTTTTTGAACCTTTAATAGACTCAAGGTTTAGTGGAGTCTCAGATAGGCATCCTTTCATTCTTCTAGCAGCTTTTTCAACCTTTTCTTGCATTAATGAGGAAGTTGGTTCCCTCAGCGTACACTCTTCACACGTCCAACTATCAGGAACTTTCTCCAGTTTAACACGCATGCAATACCTGGTTGATGCATGAGAAATAGAACATACCAACTTTACTTCCATGTAAATCAAAATATAAAAATAAAAAACTTTGTAGACATGCAGATTGCAAGTAAATTGTAGAAAGATGCAAAGATTAAAATATTTACGTGTGTTGTGCACCTTTGGTGCACTTTTTACAGAAAGCGAGTAAGTCTTCCTTCCCCACATCGCCACAGGTATTACAAACTTTAATCTGTTGTCATGTGGAAGTGACAAGAGAAATAAATTATTCAGAAGCATAATGTTAGACCAAATTGAATGCTTTTTCAACTAAAAAAAATGAATGCATTTTCTATTAGGGATGCTAGAGGTAGAGAGGAAGAAGAAAAAATAAAATCAAGTGCTAATATTTAAGTGAATTACATGGCAAAAAGCAAATATAAATCTTGACTTTTACAGATAGAGAAAGACCCAACGAATACCTCATGCATTAACGGAACATAAATAGCAAAATAGGATCTTCACTTACTAAATTTAATTATAAAGAAAAATTGCAACAGAACAACTAACCCTGGCTATCACAAAGCACGGGTCAGTTCACCTTGGTGCTGAAATTCAACTTTTATTTAGAAGAACGTAGAAACAGGGATTGAACTCTGAATCATATGATCATATTGGCTATGATATCTAACACCTTAAAATGAAAAAGTTGATATTCCAATACCAAACACATTATGTAGACGGCAACAAGCATGGCTCTGAAACATAAATAAAATACATCTCACTTTACTTTTCCTTTTTTCCTTCAAGAGGCGAGAATCTACATACTTCCTAAAGAATTGCGAGAATCCTTTTATATTTCAAAATCTAAAAATCACAATATTATTCCTTAAATGAAAATTACACATAAAGAAGCTCCATGATGCAAGGGATTTGGTATGATGCAACTGACCAAAATTTCTAACATTCAAATAAGAAAAACTTTGAAAACACCGTCGCAGCTATATTCAAAAGAGGATTTATCCTAGATCTAGAAAGAAATCATAATACGGTATTCAAATATTAGTGAATGTATTGACTACTTATGTGAAACTAGCTTGAGCCCCTTAATAACTTGTCGAAAACATCATCATTTCACGCCCTTCCTTATATTTGTATTAAAACTTGCAAGTAATAAAAACACTAGCAAATCAAGAGTATGACTGAGCCTAATCCACAAATTTTAAAATTAAAAACACATAACTTTATATCATTGAAAGGAATACCCCATACCGATTCTTCCATTAAAGCTTTGCTAGGACTTCGAGCTTTCAATTGCCGAGATTGTGGCATACAAGTGTTCTTAATCACACAAATAAACTCCTGGAGATGATTTTCAGTTTAAAACAATTCAAATGAGCATCGGCTACACTACCCTATATGTAGTAATTTTGTATATCTAGTGATGATTTCTGATTACCTGACCCAGATCTTGATGTTATAGCTAGTGATGACTCCACTTGTTTACTTGAGCACTCAAAAGGTTCTCCCTGGAAAGAAAAAAAAAGGAAACAACAACAAATATAAAAAGAAAAACTCAAGAAAGCTATCACAATCACGAAAAACATAGAAATGGGGCACACTAGCCTAATCAGAGAAATCGTTTAATGAAAAATATTTGACCGATTTGATTTGATCTGATCTAATAGAGAACGAAACATGAACACAAAGAAAACTAAAGATGTTACTAACCTCACTGCCTGTGTTGCCTACAGTTGTATACTACTCAGCAAAGGAGAGAAAAGAATACTGTCATTTGAAAGGCATCAATCGGATCCCTTTTCCTTATAGGTTTTATTAGTAAAGTCGCAAGTCCCAAGACCTGATATTTTAATTTCAGGCATGATGAACGTGTGGCACAAAAGCAAAATGCACTGGACGTTTCTTCCATTTAAGTGTAGTTGACGTTTCTTCCATTTAAGTGTAGTAGACGTCTGTTTCAGTTTCGAAAATTGTTGAAAAAAGAGAGGAAGCCATAATTAACTTGATAAAACATAAAAATCAAGAAAATTACCTAAAAAACAACTAAATAATCTTTCGAACGAGCAACACCGTCGTATCTTCAATTTATATACAACAACCAAACTTTATCCCACTAAGTGGAGTCGGCTATATGGATCAACTTCCGCCATAATGTTTCTATCCAAAACAATGTTTCTATCCAAATTGTTAATCTCGAAATCTTTCTTAATAACTTCTCTTATAGTTTTTCTAGGTCTTTCTCTACCTCTAACTGTTTGATTCCTCTCCATCTGATCTACTCTCCTTTACCACAGAATCTACAGGTCTTTCTTAATAACTCCTCTTATAGTTTTTCTAGGTCTTCCATACCTCTAACTGTTTGATTCCTCCCCATTTGATCTACTCTCCTTACCACGGAATCTACATCTCTTCTCTCTACATCCTCAAACCACTTAAAGATCTTCCCTCTACATGCCCAAACCACTGAAGTCTATTTCCACCATTTTTTCTACTATAGAGGCCACCTCAACACTCTCTAATATAGTCATTTCTAATCTCATCTATTGAAACAAAAAGCATGTGATTCACAAATAGTAAACATGCCACAATTTTTGTGATATAAATAAAAAAAATATAAAAGAAAAAAGTTCAAAATTCATAGAATTCAAAAATGAATTCTTTTAAGGTATCATTAGTTCATAAATCAATATGGATTAAATATCATATTAACTTTAACCAGACAATGTAATCAACATTACTACTTTAAAAACATCACCATCCCATTATTTTTACAAAACTCCTATCATAATTGAATTGGTTAAAAATACATACATAAACTGTAGAAACCCAATGGTTGAAGGTTGATACTTCATCCTGCTAATCCAATGCCTAATTCACCATGTTGAGAGGAGTATCAATTATTGGGGAGAGCCATTAGACATCTTGTTATGCAGTTTAGATTCTTAAAAGTTTTAACTATTAATTAAATTAAAATTTACATATTGGAAACCTAAAAAAACTACATCATACAGTGCCCTATAATCTAGTTTCACAAATATATCTTCAAACCAAGATCGCAAGGAAGTTTGAATACACTACTTATGAATAGAATAGAATGTGTGAAACACAAATCCCTTTTTAACATCAAAATCTTTGTAATTCTAGTGGCAAAATGATTCTTCACATTCTCCTAATCGCCGCCTAATTCCGTTCATACAAGATCAAAAAATTCAATATACATGTGATAGAGTATCATTTCTATCAAGAATACTTTCATCCAAATTGAATGGTAAAAATGAAGATAGAGCTCTAAGTTTGAACTATGTACATATCAATTCAGAATGACTAATTGAGCTAGCATAAACTGGAAGGAAGAAAATAATATACAATAAATTGAAGAAAAATTGATGAGAAAATGCTGGAATGATATGAAAGGGAAACAAGAATGAAAGTGCATGCCTTTTTTTGTTTGCAGACGCAGATGAGGTATTTCAAAACCCTAAACTTTACTTTCAACCCCATTCCCCAATGACAGGAACGAAGCGAAGAATGTTGGAATTTTGATGCAGAGGATCGTTAGCCTCAAATTCGTTGTTGTAATCGTAATCAAACGAGATAGTAAATGAAGGCGAGAACAAAAGCATAATCAATTCTTCTTCTCCGGAAAGGTGTTGTGTGTATCTTAGCAAAGATTTCACACGATCTGTATCACCGCAAGGAAATATTAGTGAACATGTGGGTATAGAGAAGATGTGAAATCCTTAACTAAGAGGCAGTGCCTCAAGAAACATAGTAAGTGAAACCTCGCTTGTAGCTTATGAAACCCACTCATCAAATTAACCATCTTAAAATTTAATTTTGCAACATCAAAATCACTTATTTTATTTTATCTTGGAGACTTTAAAAAATAACCTTGAGACCATGTTCGGATATTTCAAATCGAACAGAAAAGGAAAGAACGGAATGGAACATAGTGAAATAAAGCATTGCAGAATTGATATTTCATTTCATTGTATAAATATTTTAGAATAGAATATAATAAAAAATGTTATTTCATCTAAATAAGATGAAATAAAAATGAGGATAGGTAATGAAATGTGTTTTATGATGAAATAAAAATGAGGATAGGTAATGAAATGTGTTTTATTATGTTCCGCTCCATTCTATCCTTTTTTTTCAATCCAAACATAGTTTAAATGATGCATTTTTACCAGGTTTAATGGTGATGTGCTGACAGCTTTAAAAAGTTTTACATTATCATCCAATAGAAATATATTATTTTGTCATGTCATATAAATATTTTAAAATTTTCAATGTGATTTGACAGAATGTATGATCGTCATTGGTTGATAGTGTAAAATTAATTTACACTTTCAGTGCATCACTCTTTTCTCTTACAAGAAATTACCACATATTTCGCTTTAATATCAAATTTTTCATAAAAATGATGTGTTTTTACCGATTATTTGAAATAGTAAGTATTAAATAAATTCTCTATTTTTTATTTTAAATAAATTAGTTTTAGCACTAGATATATCTTCTAATTGGCAAAAAAAAAAATAGAGAGATTGGTGGAATGCATAAGTATACTTTTAGATTTATTTCAAAAATATATCTGTGGACTATTTTTTGACAAAACAAGGGTGTGACACAGTTAAGAATGTCTGGGTTGCATATAATGTGAATCCAGAAATGTATCTCCATACTAAATTTTAGAGAGAGAAAAAAAGAGGGGTGAGATTCACTTTATAACGTATTTTTATATGAAAAAAGTGCGTCCAAAAATACATTTCTGAAGCACCACTTGATGTATTTGTCCATAAAAATCAGCATCTCGTAAATGAATGGAATCTTCAGCGGACGCGACAAAGGATGTGGTTTGCTAATGCGAGCTCCTTTGACAACATGTTTTTGAGGTTTTAGAGTTGGTAAGTCCGGAAAAACTTTGTTAACATGTTCAAAATATGAAGGAGATTGTGTCGTCGAATTGTCGTTCAGTAAAGGCTTAAGTTTCTTTGAAGCACCTTTTGTTTTTATCGGTTGAGATGGTGGTTTTAAGTCGGTGGTTTCCGGATAAGTAATCTTCGTCAATTGTTCTTTGATGTGTAATTCCATGTTGTCATCGGCTTTCAAAAACCTATCTTGTATAACTTCTCATTCGATCAAGATAGAGATATTCGATTTAACGGCTTTCATGACATCATTATCATCGAACTAAAGTCTCTTCCAGCGAATGCAAACCTCATCCATTCTTATTGGGCTACTATTAGTAATAATTCATATTTTATTATATTACTTTCTTAAGCCCATAAGTTTGTTAGAGGGTATTTTAGTATTTTATCTTATTCTAGTAACCCTAGTTTTAGCTTATAAATAGGGTGACAATCATTGTAACTCTTAATCCTGTTTCTTCTGCCGTTATTCTCTTTAATAGAATATTTCCCTATTTTCATCATTTATTCTATCTTTGCACCAACAATTGGTATCTAGAGCTCCGGTTCAGATTCATTGGGAAACACGGGAAACACGAGTGAACGTGAGGTCTTGTGTGTTTGATTTTGATTCTTAGATTCGTGTTGAATCTTGAACAAAATCTGATCAGAATTTTATTCTATGGGTTGGGAAACACTGTGTGAAAAATCTGAGTGTATTGTGCAAAGTAGAAGATGAACGGAAACGGCAACATGAACACCAAACTTCCAGTATTTGATGGTAAAAACTGGAATCGTTGGATGATCCAAATGCGTGTACTATTTGGTGCTCAAGATGTTCTAGATCTTGTCACTGATGGTTATGTTCCAGTAGCAGCAGATGCAACCGATGAACAGAAAAACGCGCAGAAGGAAGTAAGGAAGAAGGATCAGAAAGCATTGTTCTTCATTCATCAATGTGTGGATGTAAACGTGTTTGAGAAGATTGCAGACTCTACAACAGCAAAGGCTGCATGGGACACTCTGGTGAGATGTTATGGTGGTGACGCATCAGTGAAGAAGGTGAAGCTTCAGTCCTTGAGAAAGCAATATGAGAATCTCAACATGAAGAATAATGAGAAAGTTTCTGAATACATCTCCAGAGTGATTCTGATCACTAATGAGATGAAGGCATGTGGAGAAACTCTTTCTGAAGAAACAATCATGGAGAAAGTATTGAGATCCCTTACTCCTCAATTTGATTACATTGTGGTAGCAATAGAACATTCCAAAGATCTGAGCACAATGAGAATTGAAGAGCTGCAGAGCAGTTTAGAAGCGCAAGAGTTGCGTTTGACTGAGAGAACTTCTGAA